CAATGGCCTCCAACCCAGTAGGGATGGCCTTGAAGCTAAGAGCGATGGCCTCCAACCTACTAGCGATGGCCTCCAAGCTAAGAGCGATGACCTCCAACAAACTAGGGATGGCCTCCAAGCTAAGAGCGATGGCCTCCAAGCTAGGAGGGATGGCCTCCAACCTACTAGCGATGGCCTCCAACCCACTAGATCGTGAAATGCTTTTATTTCGGGTTCGTGAAGATCCACTCAGTCGGTTTTGGTCGGGTCGTTGTGGGGCCGGGACGGATCGTCCAACCCGTCTACGTTGGGCCCCGAAAGAGGGATGAACGGATGAACTGGTCTACGGATGTCTACGGTTTTCGTTCTGCCGTCCAAAAGTACATGCAAGACGCGAAAGGTAAATACCTTTTTTTTTTTTTACTTTCCAGATGGTCGTCATGAAAAAGAGCACTGGTGAACAGCGCTGAAGACCCAAGTTAGTCGTCAATTTCGGATCAGTGTTGTTGGTGGAGATTTTTTCACTGCGACCTGGTCTCAGAGAACGCTCTCTTTTTTGTTTCAAGCAGTTTTTCTCTCTTCTTCAATCAATGTTTGCTTTTTCGAAGCTGGCTTTTCCATCTCAGCGAAAGGTTGTTTGTTATCAGTTTGTTGTTTTTAGCCCGCTCCAAGTCCCAAAGACATGGACACATCGTGTTTCTATGTTCAAGAAGGCCAAGCGTTGTTTTTAAGATGCACCTGTACTCACTGTTGAATCGAGTGTGCTCTTCCTGCTTGTTTGGTGCCTGAATCATTCGCCCTACGAGATGAACCGATTCTAGAATTCATCCAAAGAATTTGTGCTTCTACTTTTCTCTGCGTGTCTTTCTGGGACATGTCTCTTTGGGACACATGTAGTGCTTACTATACAATCTATGCATGACTTTTTGGACTGGAAAGGGTTGACATTTTTGTGTCTTACGTGGTTATTTGAAGGCAAACTAACATTCAACAAAAGGATATGACTTTCGCTTGCACTTGTACTTGTAGTACTTGTAGCCTTGGCTAGCCAACAGCGACATGAAGTGCAAAACTTCATTGTGGTTTAAACATGCATGCAAGAGGCGAAGGTTTGACCGGAAGCAACCAGCAAATTTCTTTTTAGCACCTTGCTCGATGGTTACCAATGACGGAACGAACGATCAAGCCGTGATTGATCTCAACCAGCTTATCATTCTTTGGTAGCTGAAGCTGCTAAAACCATTACACTGGTGCTCATGCGCCCAAAACACACTTATCCGCAAGAAACATTTTTGCGCGTCAAGTATCATGACCTCCACGAGGGTCGGGGCTTAGCCCAAGTCTCTGGTAGCTGCGATGCAGGAGAAGACATGGCAGGGGGCTGAAACAGAGGGCACCGACGCTTCTTTTGATTCTCCAAGGAATCACGTGGTCGGGACCGCCTTATGCGAGCTTGACTTTCCAAGGTCAAGTCTTCAGAATAGTGTTATCATATAACATAATGAATTCGGCTTCTTGGATCGAATTCTGCGAAGCATGGATGAATGGTTTTTCAATGTTTTTCATATCAGTGTGAACAGTTGGTTGTGCTGGTTGACGGATGCTCTCTATCGAACATGCGCGTTGGCGCAGTGCTGACAGTTCCAAGGGGCAGAATTCTTTGTTTGTGAGCTTTTTGCTGCTTGAACAGTGTGCCCTTCTTTGCTTTTGACACGATGGAACCGTTATGTTTACCAAGTAGAGAAGAAGGAGAGAAGCTATGGTCCAATGAACCCTTTACAGCAAAGATGGGACTGGGTCAAGACTTCCAAAGCAGAACATGATCCACAGTTTCAAGTGTGCATCGCATACAATACCATCAAATACCTCTCACCCTGGCAAGGCTGCTTGTTCTTCTAATGTTCAGTCCAGTCTAGCTGCTGTTTGCAAGTTCTTCCCATACCGAGCCCAGGGGTGTCGAAGCTCACATCAATCTCACACTGATCTCAATCTGACGCACTGCTTGCTCATCTCGCAAGAGACAAAAAATCCGTGCGAACATGTTGCTGCTTGAACACTTCTTGAATTGGCTCTTTTGAAGTAGCTGGGGCACCAAGGGGCAGAATGTTTTTTTGGGGTGAACCAACCGTTGGAAGGCATGGCAAAGTTTTGCATTTGCGGACGTTGCGTAGGATCAGGCAAAGATTGTCTGACGTTTGGTGAGTTCTTTTCTCCGAAAATGAATCATATACTCTAAACGATCGTCTCTCAAAACAGGTTTCCGCTTGGCAGTTCTACTAGCCTTGCCACTTGCCACTTACACATACATTGGCATTCCACTCGAATCACCAGAATCACCAGAATCAGACAGCGATGATCACATGTTGAAAAGGCCCTTTGGAGCCAAACATGTGATCATCGCACCCACTCTCCGGCTCAAAACATCGAAAAACCATGGATGGTTTGATGGCGTGGTTCAAAACCATCAGCCGAACAAAAGAAAACGCACCTCGCGTCCGCGTCTGCTGGCTTTGGACCTCCCAAAACGCCGCGCTGCGACGCTCCGAAGGACGGCGCGGCGCGTTTGGCGAGCCGACGAGTGCGCGGTCCCCGCAGGAAGGCCGTGCAAGGCGGCGCAACTCGTCTCTCTGAGAGGCTAAGGTCAAAGGTGTTTTGGTGGAACGAGGCTGGGTGCGCTTGGGTGTTGAGGCGTGACTTCCTCGAAGCACTTCCAATGACATAACCATCTGTCACCAACAACTTTCAAGCACTTGCCTCCCCCAAAAATGTGACCATGTTGGATGTCGCAAGATGTCCGCGGAACAGGAACGCCGAACACCACACTGGCCAGCAGGCCACGCAGAGCTTAGCGGTGCTGTAGCGCGTGCTTTCTCGCGTGGGATACAGCACGGTGAGCTCAGGACTCAAAAAGTGGAGTGAAGCAATGTAGACTCTTGATCCCCCATATGAAGAGTCGTTTCACTTCAAATGAGTGGAGGGTTATGCATCAAGAGTCTACATTAAAAGCTTTTTGCAAACGGAGGATTTCCACATGGTCCTCAAGCCCTCATGGTTCTTTTTGGTTGAAGAATAGCAGCGAAGCAATGGAATGCAGTGACAAATCAGCAGAATCGTTACTCATTGCAAGTTTACTACACATGACCAGGCTTTAAGTGACACCACCGGCAAAAAAGATGCGCAGACTGACCACCACGCACTGTCTCAACGTCGAAATCATTTCAAATCGATGTAGAGCGTTTCAATTCGTCACAGATCCGGGTTTCTGCGTCACAAATCAACCGTTCTGTGTGCTGAGTATGCATTTGTTTCTCCTCACGGACAAAAAGCTTTGTTTTGCAATTCCTCATGGAACGTGTCCTTGATGAATAGGTCTAGAAATCTTCGCGCCCCTGAAGCATGAAACAGACAACAAAAGGTATGTTGGATCGCATTGCTTGTGAAGATTCGCGGTGTCCTCAGGCGGCGCTTTTGTTTCTTTTCGTATTGGACCGGATTAGATTCGAAGGCCAGTCGTGCAAAAGATGGGGATGGGGTCAAAAGCTGGAGCCCTGGTCCAGAACACGTTGCTTGATTAACACCAGGCGCAAAAGTCATGGAAACCATGACCCACAGCCAGATGAGGACAGATCATTCCCTTAGTGACGTTTCTTGCCACGCTGAGCCGAATTTGCTGAGCCCAGTGAGCCTGGAAGGTCTGAGAAAATGTCGCAACCCCTTTCCCCCCCTGCTTGGCGGCAAGGCACGGTCGATTGTTGTTTTGCACTGAAAAAGACCCGCGAGCCAATGAGGATGCATCCGAACAGGCATTTTCAGTCGTGGAGTGCGGGTGCAGTGGTCCAGCCGGGATTTGATGCCAAAAGCCTTCGTGCCTATGAGATTTCGGGCTCGCATGGATCAGTTGCTGAAAAGACAGGGATGCTGGCAGCGCAGCGCCAAGCCACAACGCCCACTGGGCCCTTTGCTTTCTTGACGTCATTGCATTTTGATGACCGGACAAAGATAATTTGTGCCCCTGGTTGCTAGCATCGGGCATTTGTTTAATGCCTGTGCTTTTGAAGTCTTGTACAGCTTGCAGTTGACAAATGCACAGACATTTGGATCCCTGTCGCTGAATTTGATGCCTCAAGCGCAAGCAGCAGTTGAATCCGAGTCACATGTGCAGTCACAAGTTGGGGCAAAAGAGCCACGGATGGGCATAACGTTTTTCTATTATCTATTTTCTAGCACCGAAAAGAGCAACAAAAGAGCATTTTGTGTGTTGACTCTGCAGCTTTGTTCAAAACAGCACGATACAATGCTGTTCATGTTTGAGTCCGAATCAGCACGCTGCGCAAGGCTGCGCAAGGCTGCGCACGGCTGCACTAATTGCGTCGGTGCGGGCTGAAGGATGGAGGTGAAGTGCCGGCGACTGCTTCCTTCTTGTGCGACGGTGAGGAGCAAGTAGGGCTGGTGCAAAGTGCCGCAGCAGCGAGAAACAGGGAGGAAACGAGATGGATGAGAGAAAGAGTCATCACAAAGGGTGAAAGATCTGTTAAACTGGGCCTCCATATGCAGAGATTGAACACCGTTTTGTTCTTGATTCCGATGCTAGGCATCACTCTTTGGGTGTGTCTCGGTTGGATAGTTTTTCAGCTTGGAAGACACAAGGTGAGGGCACCTAGAGGCAGTAGCAACGTAAGTAAGTGCTCAAATCAAACTCTATGTTTGGTGGCCCGCTTGCGTTGTGCCTTCTTAAATTGACCTGGTTCTTTTGGAGGCTGCCCAAGCTTGCCAATGTTTTCTTCCTTCGATGCCCCCATGTATCTGTATATTGGGGCCCCGACCGATTGTCGTTGGTCGAAGTCGAAGACGGTGAGGAGGAAGTCACAGCACAGCTGGAAGCTTTGCAGCAATGAGAAAAGGAGGAGGATACATTTGTATCAGGGCAGCGTCTCAGTGTGGCTGAGGTTGAGGCGAACAATCGCATGTCGCATGTAGCAACTCGGTGGGTGATTTGCAGAGACTTACATTACCCTTTCCTCAGCTGAGCGGCTGCCTGTCTCATTTTTTGAAGGCATGTTTCCAGCTTTCCTTCTCCAAGCTTGGTCGCTGTCTTTGGTTTCAATGAAGGCTTGCAGGCGCGAGTGGCTGTGACAAGAAGATTTGGATGCATATACGTTTTTTTTGGAGGGTGATCTGTTCCGAGAAATGAAGGGGAAGGTTCAACAATTGTGGCCAGATTGACCAACACTTCAGGCCTTTGATGCTGCAATGGGTAAGTGAGAATGTGGTGCTCAGCGAGTTCGAAGGTGCCTGAATGATTCCGAAGCACCATTTCTTGCAAGCCGCAGGATTCTCCAAAAGAGTCCGTGGGCCCTTGGTCATAGAGATGCTGATTCTCTCTTGACAGGGTAAAGACTTTTGTTCATCCTATAAGAACTTCAGTCGCGTTCGTGGGTCAGGTGCACGGGGGTTCCTTTGTTTCTTTGGTTTGTGCCAGTTTAGATTTCTCTTGACGCTTTGCCAACCTGCTACTATTGAAGGGTTCCTGGCAGGGAATCCGCCAGAAAGTCATGGGGGCTACTGTGACTTGATCTTGTGAAAGGTACACAGGTGCGAAACTAGACAACACTGACAAACTTCGTTCCTTTCTTCTTCTTCTTCTTCCTCCAGGTTTCAACCTCATGCCAAGAATTGTGGCAGCAAAGCTCGAAGAGTCCTCGCCACATCAACTCTACTCGTGCGGTTGTGCTTGGGGGACTGAGGATAGTGCACGAGTTGCGTGCTTGTCGTGCATTTTCTCTTACGGAGGCGTGACACTTGCGTTTGCAAGTTCTCCGAATGGCCTCACACTTTTGCGAGCGAAGGGATTTCTTTTCAAATGACAAAATGCATGGACGTTGGAGCAAGCGCAAATGCAAGGAATGTTGCAGTCGGCTTTGGTTGTCGATATGTGGAGAAACAACTGATGCGCACTTGGTGAGGTGGGAGTCAGGTGGAAGACATGAACTGTTAGCATGTGAAGTGCATGCAATGCATATTTTGAGGGATGCACATCGGGTAGCGCCCAAGTGCAGTTCGTGACTCCAGAAATCATGCTTGTTCTATACACTGCGATGAAACAGCCTAGGCCGTATATCAGAGCTGAAGTTTGTCACTGCTGGTTGTCTGGATGTGCGCTCACTTTTTTACTTGTTGCTGCCGCAGTTGCTAGAGCAAAATTGCTCAGGCATGGTGCTGCGGATAGTCTCTCAGTTATAGAACTTGTTGGACATTGTTTGAAACCGCCTTTCCAGTTGTTGAACACCAGTTGTTGAACGTCTGTTGAAATCAAAAGCTGCCCCATTACACGCATATCATGCTGAGCATTTTTACTTGTATTTGCCTCCCATTGGTGAGCCTTTTGGTACTGTTTGCTCTCCAAAGTCAGCAAAGTACACATTACATTTGTGATTTATGTTGACATCCATCAGGGCTCTTTGGCAGATGTTCCAGGGCGGCTTGAAAGGTCACTTTTGCAGGTGCTTCCGTTGTGGCAATCACCGACCTCACCTGGCGCTCTTCCTGGACTCAGCCAGCCTTGTCGTGTTGACTTCATTTTTTTTCTTGGTCTCCAGACCTCTCTCATCCATGCCTCTTTGTATACTGCACCATGCACTGGTTGCAGAACTTGCTGTCGGTCTTTGCAGAGAGAACCGACATGCGGTAGTGGTGTGGGTTGATGATGGGCCAAGGGTTTAAATGTGCATTGTTGCCAGGCTTCACACAGAGTGCTGCAACCGACAGTACCTGGTCGCTAACGGCGCATAGCAGCGAAGAACTATATATATATGCTGTGTAACCTTAACTGTCTTGGATGAGAGTCTTGCTATCCTCCATGTTTTAGATTTTACAATTTGGATCCATTTGGACTTTCAAGTGTCATAGCACCTTTGTCGTTAGTTTTGTTTTTTTGCCTTTTCCCTTTTCTACAAGCATGCTGAATGGATGGTTGGGTACGGACTGCGATAGGTTGGGAACATTGAGGATAAGATGCCTTCCACCTACTATGAGTAGACGTGGTTCGCTTGCCTCAGCCAGACTTAGTCTGGAATCATAGAGATCTGCACACGGCACACATTAGAGAAAACGAAACCTATGTGCGAGAGTGAGCTGTACTTGATGCCCTCCTTGTCCGCAAGTTTCTTCTGATAGGCAACCAAAGAAATTTTGTCTTCTTCTTCTTCTGCTGTCATTGACATCTTCTGCTGTCATTGCACTTGTTGGGAGCCCCTGCTTGTGCCCTCAGAGGCTTTCTTTCCGAATGCCTTGTGTATTGAGATGTATTGAGTCCATCCATGTAATTTTTCGACCCAGTAAACCGACACAAAAGACTTTACTCTTCTCAATATTGCTAGTTCAACATAGCGCCTGCAACGTGTGTCCCTATAAATGCGTTCCACCGATACACCAATCCACTGGCCGATACAATGATACACCTACGCCTTAGGATTTAGGTTCATGTACGTATGTACATAGTATGTAGGTATGTAGGTAGGTAGGTCGGTAGGTAGGTAGGTAGGTCGGTCGGTATGAATAAATGTATGAATGTTTTCAGGGTCGTCTACTGTATTGTCTTAGTGGCGTAGAACGCAATACGTGCGTTCAACACCAAACAGCGCAACGGCGCAATGGCAGAATCACACGTAAGGACACCGCTTGCAAGCATGCTCTATTTAATCTTTTTTGAGTGAGCAGTGTGGGTTTGGATCTTTGTGCTGCACTGCCGCCAGCTGTGACATTACTTTTAAGATCTGGCCTTGTGCAAGGCTGATTTGTGATGCCAATGGGCAGGAGTGCAGTTTTGATTGAAGAAGGCGCCTTTTTGAAACGTGTTGCACTTGCAGCAACCATGAGCTAATCAATTACAAAGCAACAGCCACTTAATCTTGGCAATGAAATGCGTCCGCCAAGGCAAGTTCGCTTGCAAAGCAGCATCCTTTTTGTAGCAGCCGCAAGGAACATTAGCAGGCCCACCACCCATGGCAAAGAGATTGATTCGCATCATCAACCTCGTAGCAATCACAGTGAACATCGATAGCTCCCGCAGAGTCAAGAGACCCCCAATCACCGCAATTCCACTGGCAAAGCAATATGTGTCTCCGAAGAGTTGTGGATTTTGTGGCGCCGGACGGAAAGTCAAAAACGAGCTTGTCAGCCTACGATCTACTTGTACAACAACAATTTCCACGAGCACTGGGCAACCGCTGAAGAGAAAGATTCAAGGTCAGCACACAACTACTAGTGAGCTCAGGAACACACAAAGGGCTTGCCGAACATGGCCGAGAAATCTAATTATCATCTTGCTTCTCACTCTTTTCACCTCCAGCTGGCTGACATTGTCCTCATGGTTCGTGATCCGCCACAGGTGCATTGCTTCTGTTCACAAGGCGCAAAATGTGTCACTTTTCAGAGAATCCGTGCCAGTCTTTTGTGAACTTTGATGTGCTCAGCTGAGGGTATAACATCGGATCTTCACTGAAATGAGAGAGCACATTGTTTGCTGAGGTCAGTACTGTGTGCTGTATCCTCTGCAGCTGGGTACGGCTTGTGCCTCAGAAGAGTTTCGTTACTCTCAAGGGTCCAAAGACGCGAAGGTGTGACCAGATTGAACCAAAAACCGTGTTTGAGGTGTTTCAGGATTTTGTTTGCCAATGCTTTCTTGGCATGTGGGGGCCCAAAGAAAGAATGGAGATGGAGCAGTGATGCGAATCAAGTTCGACTGGAAATCGGAGGACTCTTCTCAAGACGACAAGAAAACCAACACCTCACTCATGGTAAACCGTGTCTCACTTCGCCAGTAAAGAGCCATTTGAATCTGCTGGTGTTGAGCAGATGCACTGAGGACAAACTCGATTCATGATTTGATTCACCCTTTTCAAGGTGCTGGCAGCCTCGATGTCAGTTCTATCAGTTCATCAAGCTCTCTTTGTTCATGTGGCTGGGTGTTGCTTCTTTGTGGACATTCCAAAGAGGCTGTCACCATTGTGCTTTCGGGCCAGATGCTCGGAAGACTCAACAGAGCCACTAGGTCAACCCAGGTATTCAAACCGTTGTGACGGTGGTGCGACTTTTCCTAATCGTTTGGCAAGGATTTTTCAGTCAGGTCAGTCTTCTCAACGGTGTTTGGGATCAACTTTCTGATCGTGCTGCTCGGCCGCCAGGTCCGATGCTTTTTTGGTGACCATCTCCGCTCATCCGATCCAACACTATTTTCATCAATCGATGAGGAGCACCACGTTAAACCAAGCTCATGAATCCGCGATGACCTCAAGATTGTTTCCTGACTTCTTGCAGCCTTTCCGTCCATTGCGACTTTGTGCCACAAAAACCTAGGCCACTTTGAAACGGCCAGCGAAGATGAAAAGATTTCTCAGCTTACGTGCACGCTCAGATGGTTTTGTAAGCAGGGCTTTGCAGAGCTCAGACTGCATTGTAGGTAGCATAAATCCTGTGCATGCGGCAATCTTTCCACTCAGAGACTCAACCAAGCAACAGGCTTTAAGAGAGCTTTGTCACCAGTCCATCATTTATATTCATAGCCCCGAGCTTCCAACTTGCCATCATCATTGCACATCAAGCTAGCCAACTGTAAGCCTTTAGTCACCTTGAGTTGGGCCATGGTGCTGAACAGCTGGCAATGGAGGCTGTTTTTCCTAGCACTGACACTCCTTTTGGGCTCATTTGCCACTGGACACTTGCTTGAGATTTCGGACCTCGGCCGTGGAACCAGCATCGGGGCTCTCTACGATGTCGTGACTGGTGAGATTTTGGACGTGGCCCTGTGGTCAAACAATGTGACGAACAGCTCTGACCTGGTGCGGACAATCCCAGCACACTACGCGCGCTTGTCCTTTACTCGCAGCGAGAGGACGGAGGACCGAGCAAGTTTGCAGAGTCTGAGTGGCGAGGTTACAGGGAGTATTTTAGGCGGCTTCCTCTCTGTGAAAGGCTCTGCTCTGGTCTTGGAACACAAGCGCCGGAGCCGGTCGACCGCGGAGGTGGTTGCCAACTACCACATTGAAACTCGCAAAACCGTCATCAATGCATACGACCCACGGCTTTGCAAAGAACAATTGCAAGTGGGGGAGTTTCCCGGACTGAAGCGTGCAACGCACGTTGTGACTGGCATTCTGTATGGAGGCGATTGTGCTGCCATTTTCAGTACTGAATCGGCAAGCCGCTTTGACAAGTCTGCAGACCTAACAAAGATAGAGGGCGAGATTGATTTCTGGCTCGGCAGTTATACGCAGACCTTGGTGGAGCGAGATGATATCAAGGAGTCTTCCAGTGCCTCGAGCAGCATCACCGTGGAGATTTTTGGAGATCTTCTCCCAGAAGGTCCGCTGCCAGGTGATGTCGAATCCGCTGTTCGCTTCATGTCGGCCATGCCACAGCAAATGGTGAGCCAGGGCGACCTGCCTAAGAGGCTTTTCCTAACACCACTCTCGGAGCTTCCATGTGACGAGCAAGCTGGGCGAAGGCTTGAACGTGCCACGCTGCAGCACTATTTTGAGTTGCCAGACCGCTTTGTAACCCTTAGTATCAGGCTGCTGGAAGAGTTGGACACAGCAGAGCAGTGCCTTAATGAGCTGTCACTGCGGCCTCACCGAGGCTTTATCTCTTTGCGACAGGCAATTCACTGCCATCTGGAGAATCTTCAGGATTACCGGAAGCAGTTCAGGCAGCAACTCAAAGAATCCACGCAAGCCTTCCGAAATGACGGCGCCGAGCAAAAACTTGATTATTTGGTGCAGAGCTTCTATGAAAGTGGATACAGTCTACAGGAGACACAGAGCTTGTGCAACAAGTTGCAAACGAAGTGGTCGACAGCAGATGATGTTGCGGATTTCATGGAGCAGTCCAACTTGCAGATGGGAAACCACATCTCGGACTTCATTGGTCCATCTCTGAATCCTCGAGTACACTCCGCATACCAGTTTCTCTTTGTAGGCGAGCCCGACAGTGTAGAGAATCGGGAGAGTGTCAAGTTGCTGAAGGACTTTGCACACTTGGCTGGACAGCGCAAGAGAGTCTCAGGCTCCTCTTGTGACGACTGCGAACCCGTGAGCTTCTCCGCGATCCAGTTCGACAGTTTTTGCTTACAATTTTGCCGGCCGGAGCAATGCCAGCTTTGGTGCAAAAACTGTGGAGAGGGGACAGATTTGTCGAACTCTACTGCCTCAAGTGATTTAGTATTTCTGATGCCGCAACAGGAGTCGTGGTGCGAGGTGCCTCAAAGCAGAGTGTTGCTGTCTGTGAGGAATGCACAGCCTCAGGTCGTTAATGTGCAGCATATTCAACCCCCCAGTTCCTTGGACCTGCTGGAGGTGCGGTACAATGGTCATGAGATTGAGTTGATTCTAGGGAATCAATCCAGCTGCGCTCCTCCAGTCTTGCGACACGTGCTACGTGTTTCTTGGGAGACCAAGGAAGACTCTATGCACCTCTATTCTCAACACCGAGATTTTGAGATCTATGCGCCAGAGGATGCGGCCCGCATTGTCTTGGATGCTGGGCGAGTGTATTCCTTCCAAGTGGCCGCAGTGAACCAGGTGGGTATCGGCCCCTTCTCATCCAAACGACGGGCCATGGCCACTTCGACATCTTCTGAAAGAAGGCTTGCAGCGTTTGCAGGCTTGTTCGGGTTGCCGGTGCCAGTGGTAGGCCTCCTTGCCTCCCGGGAAGCCGTCCTCTCCCTGCCTGAGACTAAGCGGAACCGCGTGCCCAGCTGGCGTTGTGTCCAAGTCACCATTTCCTTGTCCAGCGACACACAGGAGGAGATCTCTGGAGTTAGGTTTTCAGATGCGGAGAACGTGCACCAGAATCTCACCTGTGCTGCACGGATGTCATCCTACAACGAAATACATTGCACCATCCCAACCCGGAAAACTTCAGTAGACATCCTTTGGAATGTCGAGGTGCTTGGCTTCGACAGACCCATTGCTGAGCTTGGCCATCTGCTTCAAGAGGCGCCAAGTGTCCAAGCTTGTCGAGAGTGGAGCCAGGCTGACTATTGCCATTCAATAGAGCCGACCTGTGTGAAGACGTGTGCTGATTGCGCGGCCCGGCCACATGCCCATGCCCCTCCCAACTGCAGCTCTGTGGATGCAGGCCATTACTGGAGTGAGCTGACAGGCGTCCCTGTCAATGGCAACCGCCAGGATGAAGCAGATTTTGAGCTTGAGAACGGAGAAGTGTGCCCACTTGAGCCCGAGCCGTACTGGAAAGAGGATGCAAGCTTCCGCCGATTGACACCAACTCACAGACCTGCTCCTGCCAGCCTCGTGCTTGACATTCGGCTGTGGAGGAGCGAGGTGGCTGCCAGTTGCCAGGCAACTTCGCAAGTTGCCCCAGACAAATGCTCACGGCAAGTGGTCAGGGCTGTGCCTAGCCCAATTCAGCAGCTGAGAGACCAGCTGAACAGTTCGGTCTTGCTGATCATGGAGGCGTGGTTAATGGTTCCGGAAGCGACAGTTTTCTCGAAGGATCCAGAGACTCTGTGTGGAGCTCAGTTGCTTCAGATTCATGAAGTGAGTTGTCCAAAATATCGGATGCGGTGACAACTGCTTGTTGTTGCACATTCCTGGGCCAAGAAGGTAGAATGGGATTTACAGCTGTGCATATTCATACACTTCGCAAGACTTGAGCACCTTAATACAAGCTGGGTCTCATGTTTCGGCTAGGTTGGCATGGACATGAGGGTCACTTCGGACATACTGTTCAGTTTGATGCTCTCTTTTATTTTTATTCTTCCCTGGCCATTTTGGCGAGACTGCCGCTCGAGCCCGCCAGGCCAGAAAAGCTTTCACTTAGGTTCCTGGGCCTGGGCAATGTCGTCTAGCGGCAGCGGCTCTCAACCTGTTCAGGCAAAGGGCATGCCTCGTAAAGCTCCACCTGCTGCATTGCAGCGCCAGATGATCAATGCCACGAACAGAGTTGATGATGCCTCATCGACCTCTTCATGGACAAGGGTCGAAGATGATGATCTACCTCCTGCCAACCTCCCACTCCCTCGGGTGGATGAGAATCAGGAAGTTTGTCAAGATGGGATCCCAAAGAGCTTCATGCCTCCTCCTCCTCCAGCTTGGTCGAACCAATGGGCTGCACCAGCCCCTCCAGCGGCTCCTGCCAAGGCGACTTCGGCTACCAATGCTCCGGTGCTTCAGGCAGCTCAGGGCCTCCTCGACCACTCGAACGAGAACCCTACTTCAAGGAGATTGAGAAGGCAACAGGAGCAGGCCGCTCGGCGAGGCAGAAGAGGAGTGAGATGGGGACAGCTGGCTCCAGGCCGTCTGGCCCACAACCCGCTCAACACGGTGCTCCCAGGGCGGGCGAGGGGGAGAGATCGATCTTGGTGCTTGACGATCGTGACCGACGAGTGCAAAGTCCTTTTCAGGGATGGCTCCTGGATGAGGTGCTGACCAATGCCTTGGCGGGCATCAACGCCGTTCGGACAGGCATGCAGTGAGGTCGCCTTCAACTGGCTACCATCTGAACCTGTTCATGGTGAGGACGCTCGACTCCGTCAAGGTGACGATGTGTGGCTCCATGACGTGTTAGGTCAAGCCCCATGCGCTCGCTGGGACTCCCTGACGGGGGAGGTGATGAGCCATTCGGCTTTTCAGCCATTCAGGTGGCCACCCATGACTGAGCAGTCGCCCACCTGGGTCGATGTGAAAGTGAAGCTGGAGGGTCACCTACTTGTTCACATGGAGTTTCGTGGGTACCGCTCGGACCACGACCTTTCGCTACAGCTCTGGCACGTGGCTGACGCGATCCAGAGCATCCTCTCGGAAACTTTGTTCGTGCCCAGCTTCATCGTCACTGTCTTCCAGGGCTGGAGAGTGGTCGCTGTCTCCTGGGAGGTCGGCGGGCGCATTTACGCCTGTTCAGATGGCGGGATCGTCGTGGCTCTGGACTTCCCGCTATGCCACTTCGAAGTGCGCTTCGTCGCGACCAGTTCGCCAGACGCATTCGGCGCAGACGCTGACAGACTCGAGATGCGCTTTTCTCAGCGCCGGGGACAGACTCGACGTGGCGGCAAGCATTGTTCAGGCACAGCAGGGTCTCAGGTCCAACCCTCATCAGGAACGCCAAATGGTGTCGTGAGCACGGCGCCAGGGTGGAGTGTCCTGATCAGCAACTTCAGCTTGCTCAGCTGGCAGCTGTTCATGCCCATTGGACTGCCACAGTGGAGGCGCCAACCGAGGCCGAGACAGGCCCGAGGATCTCTGCGATCGCAGTGGAATCGAACGCTGCCAATGTGCATCTGGTGTGCGAGAGCCCGCTGCTGCGCAAGGAGAGGGCGATCGTCAAAGCAGAGGCATTGGCTCTGCAATGCCATGATCCTTTGGATGAGGTCACCCCCCCCTAACTTTGAGGACGCTCGGTTTGTGGCCCTTCAAAACAAGGTCATTGCCGACCGTGCAAAAACACTCAAAGAGGCGATCCCCATCCCGATTTCGATCATCGTGGAGCTCGAAGGATTCGTCGTGGACCCCGGGAAACCGATCGGCGCGCGGATCTTTTTGTGGTGGATCCTTTGCATGGTCTTCGCCTCCCTTCGGTTCGATGACGCTATCCATGTCCGCCCAGGAGAGCTGACCATGCGAGACGAAGGCCTGTTCGGGGTCGCCTGGCAGACCAAAGTCGATCGGAAGCGGATGGGAACCCGCTTCGTGGTTCCGAAGATCGGTTTTTTCTGACTCGACTTGGCTGGAGGAGGGGTGGGAGTTGTTCAACCGGACGCAGGATCTCGATCGGGATTTCTGGGTTCCTGAACTCAACACCCAGGAGGAGTTTCTTCCAAACCCCCCTTCGTTCGCGCGCTCGCTACAGTGGATGAAAGTGTTGTGTCGGCGCATCTCTGATGAGAGCACAAAGTTGAGCAGATCGCAGCAGACTCAGAATGCGATCGCAATCAACAAGCTGACCATGCATTCATGCAGAGTGACTTTGTTAGACGCAGCGGTCCACTCGGGCCGGTCGGCCGAGGAGATTGGCCTTCAGGCGAATTGGAAGAACCCGGGCCCTTTGGTCCTCAAATATACCCGAAATCGATCGGCCATCCCTGCGCTCATGGTCAAACAGCTCGTGAGAGATCTTGTGCAAGAAGAGCATCCAGCAGTCGAAGACGTCGACGCGATCTTGGTTGACTCAAATGATCAGGAACTCTCGTCGTTCGAATTCTTCATCAAGAACGCCAGTCCCGGCAGCTACTATGAGTACAAGTACCATTGCGCCTCCAGCTCGGACAACACACTCACTGCCTGCAACAAGTTCAATTTGCGTGACTGCTCGTCGGTGGGCGAGACCTTGCCGGATCTGACGGTCCTGTGCAAGGCATGTGCCCGAGCGAGGCCGGAGATAGCGTCCTTCTTTGACTGTCGGCCGGAGCGCGATGCCGCCGCAGCCGCATCTTAGGTGCAGCCGTCGAAGTTGTCGAACTCGTGTCGTGTTTTGAGAGAGGGGCACTGCTGTGATTTTTGTGTTTTCTCAGCTGATCAGTTTTGTTTTTTTCTCATGACATGTTTTCACAAGTTTTTCGGTTCGACAGAGGGTCCAAGATCTGTTTTTCAACCGTGGCCTGCGCCTGATCGCGCACTATGGTCGATCGGACCCACTACGATCCGGATTCAGTTCCGGAGTTGAGCCTCCGGCAAGTCTTCGGCCGCCAGCGCTTGTCCAAGGACCTGTGCAGGCTCATGGCCGACAAGAAGATGCTCACCGTGGAAGGATTCGCCATGCTCGGCGATACGATCGCTGCAGTCAAGACCACGTTGAAGACGATCGTCGGCGACGATACGCTCCTGGGCGACAATGCCGCCGCTCAAGAGCTCGCCTTGACATCCTTAGCGGCAGTGTGGAAGACGCGCTCCTCACTCCAAGAACATTTCGCCGCTCGGCGAGCAAAGATGGAAGAGGATCCGTCGAAAGTCCCAGAGATCCCTGGAGATGATCATGCAATTCAGAGAGCAATTCGTCCTGAAGCACCCTGATGTGCTCTTGCCACACCATCGTGAACCCCACAGGAAGTTTGTGGAGCGCACCCAGCGAGATTTTCTCGTTCATGGTGCAGTCCCCTTCTACGAGGTGGGGGAAATGAGGACTCGGAGTGAGCAGATCGCCCAGAAGAGTGGCCTTTCGAAGAACGCTGAGGATCTCCTGAGGGTTGTGACGATCGACCAACCTCAAGCGGCAGCATCTGGGTCGCAGGTCATTGACAAGCTCCATGCCTTCTTGGTCGCATTGGAGTATACTTGAACATTTGCGACTTCACTCATGCAGCTGGTCCTTTGCGCTACCTCTCAGAGCTCGAAGAGTGGCGACATGAGCACCGGGGCCTTGCGCTTTTGCTGACTGTCGACAGCCTGATCAGGAAGAAAGTCTATCGACTGAATGCTGATCAGAGGAAGTTGTACCCCTCCTTCTCGGGGGCGCTCATTGAGGTCCTCACTCATCACAAGCAGCTCTGGAATGACGCTCGCTCCAGCGCTGAACTGGAGAAGTTCAAGCAGGCCGGGCACGCCGAAGAGCGAGTCCATCCAACAAGGCGAAGAAGAACAAAGCTCGGCGAGAGAGGCAGAAGCAGCTTGTCCGCTCCGCTCGTGAAGCCGTGGACGCTCGGAAGAAAGATGCTCCTAAGAAAGATGCTCGAGTTCCAGCTGCTGAATGGAGCAAGATCACTTCCTTCAAGTACAAGGGCGCCAAGCGTTGCCCTTGGTTCAACTGCTCGTTGGGGTGTCGCTTCGGTGATCAGTGCAAGACTGCTCACCTGTGCGTGGAGTGCGGCTAAGAGCACTCCTGGCATGGAAATCACTGAGGTCCTTCAACCCTGGCGGTTGAGGTCCAAGCTCCGCCTCTTCCGCCTGCTCCGGCAAAGGAGACAGGAGACACGTATGAAGTGGTCGATCGACCACTGACAGTGGCTCCACCTTTGTGGCTTTCATGGGATGAAGTGCCGCGTGATGCGGCTGCTGTGGCCCAAGCCGGCCCTTGGTTCTTGGAGATCTTCTCTGGCACCGCCGCACTCACACAGGCAGCTCGTGCGGCCAACATTCCTTGCCTGCCACCGATCGACATCACACCTTGCTCGCTCGTGCCAACACCGTTCGATGTGGTGGATGCTGAGAAATGGGACTTCATCATGCAGCTCGCGCAGCTCGGGGCGATTCGTTTCCTGCACTGTGGCACTCCATGCAACACTTTCTCTTCGGCTCGCAAGCTTGACCTCCACCTCTGCGATCGGCTGAGCACCCCATGGGGCTCCCCGAACTTGACGAGGAGAATAGAGCTATGGTGTTTCTGGGAAACCTTTTTCTGCACCGTTCGTGCGAAGCCTGCTTTGTTGTTTTCCTTCATGGTGGTGATTTTTCGATCGAGAATCCGGAGTTCAGCCTCATTTGGCAGACGCCTGCAATTCATCAACTTATGGAGCTTGCCAGGGCGTGGTTCATCGACTTCGATCAGTGTGCTTTCGGTGCCCCCTCGGTGAAACCCACGAGACTGCTCGTCTCGCATGAGTCGTTTGTTGCGTTGAGGCTGCGCTGCCCGCGGAACCACACCCATGTGCAGCTCAAGGGCAAAGTGTGGTCTGACTTCTTTGGTCGATGGGTCTTTCGCACCAAACTCGCTCAAGTTTACCCAGACCGCCTCTGCCAAGCCATGGCCAAGGTGATTCAACAGCTATGGCCAGATGACGCTGCACAGTTCTCATCCAGTTTCTTGATCACAGCATCCAGCAGGAAGCGCCCGCTCGGGCAACCTTTGAGATGGCGGCTTCACCGTCAGGCTGTGACAGCCCTGAAGGCGGAGGCGGCGGGCTACCAGCTGAAGAGAGGTGCACGCTCAGTATTCCTCATCCACTGTGCGCCGAAATTGATTTGGATCCAGATCTCACAGCTTGCGTCTCGGTGCTCGCAGCTGACCTACCGGGTGTCGTGACGCAGCGACTACAAACCCTGGCGTTCTGGGAGGAAAGGGCGATCGCCCTGCTGCCAAACACAGAAGCTTTGCTCAGTGCTTTGCCAGACGCGCCGCTCCGGCGCCTGTTGCGGGGGGCTCCTGATGATCAGCCATGCCAGCTCGGTTCAGTTTGCCATGTTGCTCTGTACTATACCTGTTCGTCGGTGGACTCCTACATGCCGGACTTACTCCTGCACGGATTCCCCATTGTGGGTCCAATCGCCCGCTCGCGGCGTTGGCCACCTTACGAGAAGGATCAACCCGCATTACCTGTTCAGACAGCTTTGGATCGGGCCTGGGAGTTACGTGCCAATATCGTCAACCGTGTTCGTGGCGTTCCTCCAAGTGAGAACCTGGTGAAAATCTGGGAAGCCACGCTGGAAGATGTTCATGAAGGGTCGACTTTATAGGCCCCTTTCAGACTGCTGATCAAGTGTCAGAAGTTCTTCAATGTCAAGACTGGATTCCTACTCAACGGTTCGAAGTCGTGCAAAAGAACAAGGTCAGAGGTTGTGACAGTGCGACAACGAACCTGATCAATCAGATCACCGTGATCACGGAAAAGTTGCAGCTGCCATCGACTGACACGAACGTGGCGGCCATCCGGAAGTTAAGATCGATGCTGCCGGGCTCAGAACTTGCTGGTGGGTGCTGGACGAAAGGAAAGCCTATCGGCAAGTCCGCATCCGGCCAGATCAGAGGAAGTTTAGCGTGATCTGCTTGAAGTGCCCTGTGTCGTTCGAACCAAACTTCTTCGTGATGGTTGGACATTCGTTTGGGTTGGTGTCGGCGGTGTACAACTACAACCGTCGGTCGGCAGCCATTAATGAGATTTTCATGACTTTGTTCAAGATGGTAGCCTTCAACTTTTATGACAACAAATATGGGTTTGAACCGCTCGGGTCTGTGAACTCCGCTTTTCATGTGGCTCAGAGAGTGCACTGGCTCCTAGGAGCATCGTTCGATGCTATAAGAAACTCCAGCTGACTCGCAAACCCGTCGTTCTAGGGGTGGCATACAACCTGGAGGAGGGGGCTTTGGAGCTGAAGGACAGTCGGAGGTCGGAGCTCATCGAAGAGATCGAAGGGGTGCTGCGCTCAGAAATCCTGGAGCCAGGACATGCGGGAAAGCTCAAAGGCAAGCTCATGTTCGGGGCAAGCCAGCTCTGGGGAAGGTGGGACGTGCTTTCCTTCGGGCAATTTCCGAGAGACAGTACGCCCGCTTTCCGCTGACTGATCAGTTCGTGCTTGATCAAGCCCTGAAAGAATCCTTGAAGCAGTGGCTCAAGCTCACTCTGGACCACCAAGGACGATCGATCTTTGCCTGTCTAAGAAAGCTGACGTCGTGCTCTTCACTGACGGCTTTTCTCCAGACCCCAGAGAGGACGATCGTCGACCAGATAGGATCGGTGCAGTGATGTTCGATAGGCGCATGAACGCTCCTGTACAGTTTACCGCTCGAGTCCCAGAGATTTTGAAGAGCAGATGGTTGACGAGGAAGACTCAGATCATCCCCGTCGAAATGTTAGCTCCAATAGTTTCCCTCGAAACTTTTTCCAGCAGACTCTTTCGAGCAGACCTCTTCATCTTCATAGACTCGGAAGTTGTTGAGGCCGCGCTCGTGAAGGGCTATTCAAGCCGTGAGGATCTGTGCCTGTTGGTCTCGGTCTTTTGGGACCTCGTTTTGAGGCTCCAGGCGCGTGTCTTCGTCGATCGTGTGGCTACGGATGCTAATCCAGCAGATGCGCCCTCACGGGATAACCTGGAGTTGGGCGCTCGCGCCGGATGGCTGACGGCTCGTTGCCTGGTTTCGCTGTCAGTCGAGTGAGTCGTTCGATTTGATGTGGGGTTGGGCCTGGGTATGTTTGCTCAACCAACTGGTCTCGTGAAGAGATTCTCATCATGAGAGCCCATGCGTGGGCCTTTCTGGTTGATGTTCACATCCAACCCCTCTTGTCATTTCGTTCTGAACTCAGCTCGATATCCCCATGCCTCAATCGAGCTTGAAAAAGCCTTTGCGTCAGCTTGCTCAAACTGAAGAAACGGAGACTCTGTCGAGTGCTGTATGTTAGGGAGTGGGTCTCATGTTTCGGCTAGGTTGGCATGGACATGAGGGTCACTTCGGACATACTGTTCAGTTTGATGCTCTCTTTTATTTTTATTCTTCCCTGGCCATTTTGGCGAGACTGCCGCTCGAGCCCGCCAGGCCAGAAAAGCTCCCAACCCGCCCGCCCTGGAGTTACGCACTCTGGGGCGGCCAGGCGAGGCAGGCCGCTCGTGCAATGTGAAATGGGTCAGTGAAGGAGAATGGATAGTTGAGCCTGAGTGTTCAACTTGTCTTGAGTTTTATATGAGTATTTGAGAGGGTATGTTTGCTCAACCAACTGGTCTCGTGAAGAGATTCTCATGATGAGAGCCCATGCGTGGGCCTTTCTGGTTGATGTTCACATCCAACCCCTCTTGTCATTTCGTTCTGAACTCAGCTCGATATCCCCATGCCTCAATCGAGCTTGAAAAAGCCTTTGCGTCAGCTTGCTCAAACTGAAGAAACGGAGACTCTGTCGAGTGCTGTATGTTAGGGAGTGCCGACGATAGTGTAACTCCGTGAGCTGGTGAAACTCCTATTTCTAGTGCAACTCCGTGATTCCCTTTTTGTTGTGGCGAGTTTGGCCGTGCTTGTGTCGATGCTCGATGATTTGAACGGATGCTTTGCTTTGTCAAAGCACTCGTCGATGCTTTGAACTTGAGGCGGATGATAACGTCAAGCTTGCTCAATGCCGCTGAGTACCCTCACCTGGGCGTCCAAGTTGCTATGGAGCCGATTTGGGTACAGCGAGAAGCAAATGTCAGAGCATTCTTTGCTTTTAGCTTGACTTGTTGGCTGAGTGCCTCTTGTTTGCAGATAAGACCAGAGCTTGAAACCATGTTGTCTGATCTTGCGGAGGCCGGCATTTTGGTTGGCAATCTAACTCGCTCACTGCAGCAGTCTGGCTACTCAGTGACTGCAGCTGGACAGATCATCCATAGTGCAAATGTCTATGAATATGACCAAGGGGCAGCAACAAGCACAACAAGCAGCACTAGATCGACCAGTCACACCATTACCAGTACAAGCGCAAACACCAATACAAGCACCAGCTCCAGCTCGCACTTCAGCACAAGTACTCTCAACACAAGAACAAGCACCACAACAATACAAAACACCACAACCAGTACAAGTGCAAGCACCGATACAAGCACTAGCTCTAGCTCACACTTTAGCACGAGTACTTTCAACACAAGAACAAACACCGATGCAAGAACCAGCTCCAGCTCGCACTTTAGCACGAGTACCAGTACAAGCCTCACCACAAGTATTACCAATTCCAGGGTGAGCATTTTTGGTACAACCCCCAGTGCCAGTACCAGCACTGAGAGCAGGACAACCTCCAATGTCATTATTGCGTCAACAGCAACGACGCAAAACATGGCCACAACCAGTGCCACAGCTGAGGCCACAGTTTCTGGCGATTCACACAACAACGAAGCTGTGGCTGTCTTGGAGCTGGGGCTGACACTTTCAGACATCTCCTCGTTCGATCTTGAAGGCTTTCAACGTGAGATGAGTGAAGCATTGGGTGTGAGTGCCGAGAATGTCTTGCTGACAAGCGTTCGGTACCAGACTTCAGTGACCTTGAGCCTTGGTAGTGTGACCACCGCAGAACAGGCACAAGTGGCTTTAGCTGATTTGTTGGATATACACCAGGACAGCATCAGTGTTACTCTGCTTGGGGCACGACGGCTCAACAGCTTGTTCATTCGTGGACGTCTCCTGGCTTCGGTGACTTTGGAAGCTGTCATCCGAACAGAAGATCTCCAGTCAACTGCCTCAACTGCAGAGATCTTTGCAAACATGACAACCCTGAGTGAAGCCTTTGATGTTGGCGTGTCTGTGCTGGTCTCTCCTGCAACCATTGCGCAGATTGCCCTAGACATTCAGCTTCCACCAAGCATTACTTTGGACATGACTGAGATTAAGGAGTCAATCTTGGAGGAGACTGGATTTAACGTATCAATCTACAGCATGGAAATGGAAGAAGCTCTGGATTCCCCGCAAAGCACGAGTGATAGTATAGACAGTGGATTGAACGCTGTCGAGGAGACAGTTGATGATTCCCTTCCAATGGTCTTGATTGGCACTTTGCTTGCCTCTTTTCTCATGATGATTCTGGTCTGCTGTATGGCTTGCAGGCGGTGGTTGCGGTGCTGCAATGCTTCTGGTGCTCGGGATACAGAGTAGCTACAGATCAACTGTATGAGTCCAACTTTGGAGGCCGATCCAATTTCCAAGCTTAGGTCAAGTTTGCCCTCTAAGAGGGCCTTGGCAGCCGTTGTTGCGTGAGAAAATGCAGCCACACTTGTGTAAGCCATCATCAAGATCACAACTAAGTCTTTAATCTGTGGGTGGATTGCGCTCGCCATGCTCAAGAGTTTGTAGAAAGTGCAGAGATCCTCCAGTGCTTGCGCGCTTCTCGCGTGCTTCAAGAGATGGTTTCAGGCCTTGTGTTTTGTTGGATGGCAAGCACCTCCATACAGGTGTTGGCCATCCGTCCTGACGCATTGTGGATGGCAAGCACTTGGTTGCAAGTGCTAAGCTCCTCGAAGCTAGGTGCGCCAATTTAATATGCTTTGTCAACTTGCTGGTTGTCTGGTGCGGGCATGTCGTGCCTCTCAATAAATTTGAACATTTGGATAAGGAACAACTTGGCCGATGAGTCCATTACAGCACAGGACCAGGGTCGTCGCTTCTTTTTGGGGGAACTCTATGATGCCCGCACGAGTGAGTCGCTTGGGGCTTCTCTGTGGCCGCTCTCGGTGTTGGATGATCCGCGCTTTGTCCGGGAGACTTCAGCTGCCAGTGCTGACTACTTCTTGACTTATGCTGATACAGTAAAGGACGGAGCGGGCTGGCGAGGGGAAGCTCAGTTTGGGCAGGTCTAGAGAGGTTTGTTGGGGGATTCTTACAAAAAGAAGGCTGCTGTAGCAAGTTACAGGCAACAAGCTGCTGGACACATTCTTGGTTTTCACATACTAACTCATTTGTTCAAGCTTCACTTCAGGACAAGATGGAATTGATGGGTATCGACGGCACAATCGATTTCGAGCGCTCCGTTGGGATCAGCAAGTTTACCTTGTCAGGCTCAGCAAAGTACTTGGAATCAAAGGCAGGTTTCGCGTCAGATGCGACAGGATTGTTGTTTTTACCAGGCTTCAGGCTTGTGTGTTTCACTTGACAGGCGGAGAGCAACCTGGAAGCGCCAGACTCAGTTTGTTGGAGTTGCTTTTCGGATTGCTTGGGCACCACAACATATCACATCACATCACATCAGACCACACCACTGCAGGTGCGCAGCTCACTGAGCATGACAGTGTATACAGTCTGCAAGACGCTGAATGCGATGGATCCGGACCTTCAACGCCTTCGATTCGACTACATACCTCCTCAAGCGACCCACTATGCGACCTTGGCGCACAAACATAGCATTCCCTTTGATCTGTGTTTGGTCCCTGGCAAAAGGTTTGGCCACCTCATGTGCATGGTGGTGCTTCCTAAAGCACCAGGTGAGCTCCATCAAATACGGAGCCAGATGCATAGCGACATTCTCCCAAGTTGCTGAAAATGAGCAAGAGAAGGAGATTCTCCAAGGCCGCGATGGACAGTTGACCTATGCCTATGCCAGACAATTACAAATTACATGTAGCTTCGGAACTGAACTTTGAAGTGAACCACATTTGGGTTTTATGAATTTGTGGAATCAGCTTTGACATCTGCGCTCGTATTTGTTGGTCACCCTTTTCAGGCCGTTTGTATGGAGAGGTGAAAACGGCCTTGATCAGAGTGAGCGCAGAGATAAACCTAGACCTCCAGGACCTCACTGTTATGCATATATATATATATATGTTAATGCAAGGTTGTGCTGCATGCAGCTGCAGTTTGTTCCTTCTTGGCTTTGGGCTTTGAGTTTTGAGGTTCACGTAGGCTCCATGGCTCCATTCTGCAGGAGGAGGAGATCTTCAGCAGCAAGAACATCACTGTCAAAGTGAATGGAGATGTGATCCCCAGTGGCTCACCCAGTGGTCAGGCAGAAGATGACGATACAAGCCGCCGGTTGAGCTGGGGCGACCGTCCCCAGCCTCGACGAAGGCTGAGTGAAGATACTTGCTGGGATAAGCCCAATTGGAGGGATGGCATCAGCAGCCAAAGCTGCAGAGATTACAAGAAGTCTTACTGCGACGCAGCAAGCAACACCTACTATCCTGATCGTCACCCTACGAAGCGCCAGTCCAAGGAGGTGAACTTCCCGGACCTTTATTGCTGTGGCTGCGGCCGATGTAGTGACACGAAACACTGGGCAGAGCCTTGCTTTGGGTGTTTGTTCGTTTGCTGCAGGAGTTCATTTCGTCAATTCCCCAGAAGGGGGTAAACTCGGGTAAACTCATGGATTGCGGTGGTTTGGAGTGGGTCCTTTGACTTTTCATTGCCTTGTTCGTTCCTGGTAGGGCTCAAGATTGCCTATTTCGATAGGATCCACTTGTCAGCCCCAGAACCTGAAAAGAGGTTCGCCTGTGCCTCCCATGGATTAGGAGAAGAGTGTGCTTGTTGGATTCCAAGGCAAGAGACTTGCACATATGCAGCTTTACCACAGTATGGTGCGACCGTCTGCCAAGACTGTGCGGCCTTGCTTCGTTGACGGATCGCCTCCAGAAGGCCATGGAGGAACGCTGCAACGACGAATGGTTGGAGCACCAGGATCGAGACCCATTTGCACTTGTCAGGAAAGTATAATGTTGCCGATGAAGCACGTGGCAGCACGCGAGCGTTTGGAAGCCGGCATGGAGGGTCTCAATCGTGTTGCTCCAATGCCAGCCATAGTGTGCGGTTGGGGAGCAACTTCGCTGGCTCTAAGGTGTCAGGGAGTGGGAGGCCTATTGTGAAGCCGACCCGTACCTGCCGTGCCAGCCACCAGGGCTCAAGGCCAGGAAAAAGGTAGGGCGCTGGCACTTTTGAGTGGCAGCGGAGCAGGTTCTTTCTGGCGGCCTTTGGGGTGGTTGCGCTTGGTGGGAGCCTGGCTACGTGGCTTGGTTTTTGGTGGTGGACCTACTATGAGGTGTTTGAAGTGCACGCATCAGAGGACGACTCTGATTGGAATGCAGTGGAATTTGGAGGATGAGGAGCTGGCGTGGAGGGACGTTCTATGGATAGTGAAAGCCACACGTCGTGGCCAGATGGATCGGGGAGAGATGAGTTCTCACGAGGGCATGAACCAGGGCAAGGGCATCGACAACACGGCGAAGGGAGTGTACATGATAACTGGTCATGGGATGGTCGAGCATGGGGGCACGATCATGGACAAGTTCATGTACCAGGCCGCCGTGGGGAGAGATGGCGAGCGGGAAAACTGGTCCTGGAGCTATGCCGGCTCGTGGGATGGTGGAAGAGAGGATCGACGACCAGGTGAACATCTTCCTGGACCCGATCAGGGACAAGCTCGTATGGGCTCGATCCACAACGAGCTCAAGACCCCAGTCTCTCCGCTGGCTGCGGTGTTTGATCGGCAGGGATCCCCATTCCGGGGAGGTGTCGTCGGTGGGGGACGCGCCAGCCCCGAGAGACGACGGCCGCTGGGAAGGGGAAGGTGAGCAGTCCAGTTCATATCCCCCTATCTTTAGGGCTAAGCCAGGTGAAAGGTAGAGGGATTGGAGACGCAGCTTGGAGTTCTGGCTGGGTGGAGAAGGTCATATCCCTGAAGAGTACATCGATGTGAACAAGTCGGACGGCGTGCAGAAGATCTTCGATGTCTTGGAGCGCAGCCCCTTGGTCGAACAGCTGGACAAGCGTCGAGTGGACCAGCAGCGGAAGAAGCTCATGGCCTTGAGTCGATATGCTGGCTCGAGAGCTGTATCACACGTGGCAGCATCTACAGGACCCAGCTTGTTGGACTGGCTGCCACGTTGGAGATGGGCGAGCGGTTCTATGTGGGCATTTGATGGACCGTGCCCGCCTCGTGAGGAGAGAGCCAGGGCAGGCAACGAGACCGAGGAGGCGATCACGAATGCGATGGTGGAGTTGGCTGCTGAGCCGGAGGGTGAGCACGGTTTCCCAATCGGTGCCTCGGAGCCAAATACCGCGGGGCCAATGGTGATGAGTGGTTGGTTCAACGGACCACACCGGAAGGGGCTGGACGAGCTGAGTTGTCCAGCGCCTTGGAAGAGGAGAGCCTGGCGAGCGGTGACATGGAGGACTTTGCGGAGGACAGCGTGGACGAGGGCCCGGAGTTCAAGGAGGTGGAACGCAAGGCCTATGCCATGCACTACGCTACAAGGCCAAGCAGAGGATGGCTGAAGTGAAGAAGCTCCGCCAATACTACAAGGAGGGCGACCAGGTGGAGGACCGCAAGAAGGCGTTGGCGGAGAAGATCAAAAATACAGCTTGCCACAACTGTGGTGAGATCGGGCATTGGAGTCGGGAATGCCCGAATCCGAAGGCGCAGCCCGTCGTGGCAGCAAATGCTAGCTCTGGTCGGCGAAGGCGGTGGGGGTCTTTGATGGCTTTGTCTGCCCTTCCTGAAGGAGATGAACAAGACCATGACATTGAGTGGGATCTGCTAGATTCACTCTACGCTGACAGAGCGGGTGCACGATCGTCTCCGACAGCTCAGGCATACATGACTGCTGTGTGGGGTGGGTCCAGTCGGAGGAAGGGCCGAGCGTGAGGTGTTGTGGTGTGTGAAGGACCTAGCGACGGCGGTCATTCTTGATATTGGATGGACGACTTGGGTGAATCAACTCCTTCACACGTGGCGACGGAGGGGACTGTGGTTCAAGGTGTTCAGGTTTGGGAGTGGCGATACCCTGACCAGTCAGTATGGAGTTCAACTACAGGACCTTTGCCGGGAAGGAGGTGATCTGGAGTTTTTCGGTGGTCAAGGGAGAATGCCCCCCTCTACTGTCCCGACATGCTTGCGCCCAGTTTGGGGGTACAGTTTGATTGTGAACACCGCCTGCTCAACTCCAAGAAGCTGTGAGTGAAGAACTACGGTCTCCGACAAACGAGTAGTGGCCACTATCTGATGGACATCGCGGAGTTCGGGGAGGGGTGTCAGGACATTCCGGAAGACTGTCGTTTGAGGGCGGGTCAGGAGGCCTGTCCATGGACTCGGACAAATAGTGTTCTCATGGGCGAGATTTCGGGCGGGTCGCTGAACGGGACCGCGCGCACCTCTCCCTCCGTGTCGCTTGCCGCTTGATGGAGACGGGCTTCTGCCGAGTATGCAGAGACGAGAGCCACCGACTACCAGCTGAACTACGACGAGCAGCAAACCCTGGTCTCAGGCCACCTTGAATTTAGCTTGAAAACCACAGCTTTGAAGCCTCATGCGCGCGATACCTGGGAACAGAATTGTAGCTACCCTGGGTCCGTATAAATGCTGTGTTGCTATACCTCTTACACGCCTATACAAGTTCAAAGCAAGAATGAGACTTCAAAGCTGTGGTTTGCTGTGCGTGTGTGGCTCGAGAAAGATATACGTAAAGTCTGGGGGGTGATGCTTTGATGCTTTTGGAGCGGGTGGTGACGCACTCGCCAACTATACCCTTCAATAGGAACTCGAACAGCTCAAATCCAGAAGATTCTGAAAATGGCCTGGCTCCCTATATGAACCCTGGGAAGACTGGGAAGCGAAGAGGTGGAAACAGCTGGGAGGTCTTGAACTTTTAAGTAAACAAAAGGCCACAGCAGAAGGACAATGTGCGTCCTCTGCTCTCGCTTCGCAGACCATTTTTAAGGTGGCCTGAACAGAGTGCTTTAGGGCAGCAAACCCTGGTCTCAGGCCACCTTGAATTTTGCTTGAAAAATTGTCTGTTTTAACTTTAACAAAAGCCTTGTCACAGAGACACCTCAGGACCCTTGCTTCGCATATCTTCATTTCTGAGGTGGCCTGAGCATATAGTTTCGCGCAGCGAGCCTCTGGTCCCAGACCACCTCGAATTTTGGTGCATTGTTTCTATGTGTGAAGTCGGTCGGGGGTCGGGGGGGGTAGCCCGAGAAAGGTATACGTAAACTCTTGGAGGTGATGTTTTAGTGATTTTGGAGCGGGTGGTGATGCAAGAGTGCATTTTTTGCTTTTGCATGGTTACCTATGCGCGGGCAGAACAAGACATGAAGCAGATTTGACACGCGGCCGCAAGCGGCTGCGCGAGCTCATTTGATTGCTTCGACGCGCAGTTGTCGAGAAAGGGAAGCGCTGGCTTTCGTTTTGCAGCTTCTCAGGTTTACTTCAGGGGCCAAGTGCAGTTTTAAATTCGGAATTAGATGCAACGCGTGCTGCAGGCAACCGCCCTTAGCGACCGCAAATGGAAAATGGTTCGTTCCTGGTAACCCCCTTGCACGCAAACCAAGTGATTGGTGTGACAGCCCTCCAACCATGATTCTTTGCAAAGATCGGCCCAGGATCCAGATGGGCATGGTTGTGACTACTACCGTTTGAACCGTTGCCAAAGTGGGTCCTACAGTGGTGCTGACGCCCCGCGGGTCAATCACCCAGAGGAGAATTGCTGCGGGTGTGGCAAGTGTGAGGACACAGCAGGTTGGAGCGACCCTTCAAACCACACGCGCCAGTGGTACAAGAACAACGGATTATGCCCAAACGGCGTCTACCGGGATGCCGCCAATGCTACCCAAGCAGAACTCAGCAACTTTCCAGATATGCACTGCTGTGCATGTGGGAAGGCAAGCACCTACGTGCATGCAGTCGACCTGACAGCGACAACTACAACTACCACTGCTCTCTACAAGCTTTCGGATGGCCCAGAGTATTCCGCAAGACGTCGCAGAAGTGTTACTCTTGAGAAGCCTACCAGGGTGCCCACGGACCCGACGAGTGCGCTAGACTACCTCTCCAGGGTGCACGTCTCGGCCCTGGAAGATGGTGGCGTCCCGATGCAGATCACCCTTACACCAGTGAAGTGGCTGGTCAGTGGGCCTCTTAGTTGAGATCCTTTTGCTGCAGTCAAATTTGATTGGCGCAAACAGGAACCTGTATGAGACAATTACGTACGCTACTTACTCCTTTCACAAGGGTGCATGGGTCGGGATATTAGTGTATTCTGAGCTTGTCTCCCATTCCGGTGGGTTGGGAAACAATTTGGCTTCGTTTCACTTGCAGGGTTTGTGCTTTGTTTCAGTTCTTTGTGAGAGAGGCCGTGTGGCGCTCAGCGCCATGTGTGACAGTCACTCAACCCAGCAGTGTTTTGCCACCTTTGCAACCGAGAAACCTATTCAATCATTTAAGGTAGGCAGGGTCGGTGATGATGAATTATTTGGGAAGCTTCGAGTCAACGTCTCCCCGATGTTTGAATACTCAAGCCAAACTGGGGAGACGCCCTTGAGGAGCAGTGTCACTGCTGGTACCTCAAGTTAAAGTTTTTCTCTTCGGTTCTGTCGCCGTGGCGAGTGACGATGCACAAGTCCGCCGCGGAGTCGAGCAGACCAAGCTCGAGCGGTGGTGTGCTGCGCATCACATTGAGTCGACCTCCGATTTGGCCTTTTACTTTGTGATGCGCGAAGAGGCCTTATTGGAGGGTCGCGCAGTGGCAGATGCATGGGAGCAGGCGCGCCGGGAGGTCCTCGTGCGGGACCTCTTCCGCCGTGAACAGGTGTCGCAAGCTGCCGCGGCCAACTCCTTCCTTTGCTGGGCCCGTCAGGCCCAGCGCCCAGGGCCACCAGTGGGGTGGCCCTGCCCCAGCTGATGGCGATTCTCTTGATATCGAGCCCCCGCCGGCAGCGCGCTTGGCAGAGATCACCGCCAACTTCGAAGTGAGGCTCAAGAGTGCACTCCAGAAGGCGGAGGCAGCGACTGTGAAGCGTGCGCTCCACACGTGGCAGGAGCTGCAAGGGGCTATTGCCTCAGCTGGCGGCGGGCTTCCAGACAAACATCTGCTCGCCAACTTCATTCGTGAGCATGCTGCACCTACACGGGCCTACACAGCACTGGGGTGGCTTGTGCGCAACTTGAAGTTGCCGTTCGACCTCTCGGAAGTGGTCAAACCTCGGGCTGGCCTGGGCGCTCGTCTTGGAGAGGGGCAACCCCAGGCGGCCACCTTGGAGCCATCCATGGTCCTACATCTACTGGGTACCCTAGAGTCCACAGTTGATCACCCGCATTGGCCCTTGGTGTTCTGTGCCTACGCCATGTGTTTTGGTGTTGTTCGTTACACTCACCTGCAACGTAGCTACCTGGTGGGCGGCGACGGGGGCATCTTGGTTCATGGTGCACGAAAGGCAAGACTGGGAGCCGCGGGGGCTTTGCCTGGAGCGTGCCACGCTACTGTGGCACGTTGGATTTGTCGCAGGTGTTGGGCACCCACCTCAACAAGGTGCGACCTCGGTCGGGTGCCGACTTCAAGCGATGGCATTGGTTGGGCTTTGACTCGGCTACAGCCCAACCGGTGGGGACGCCGCATTTTGCGCCCGCATTTGAGTGCCGCTATGGACGTTACAAGCCTGTCCTCTTACTCCTTCCGCAGAGTCCTCCCCACGCTTGCAGGCTATGTGGGGTTGCCTGAGACAGAACGTCTTGCTCTTGGCCAATGGGTTGACCAATCCTCCAAGACCCTGTCTCGTTCATTACCTCGGCCAAAGCTGGAGCGCAATGGCATGTTGAGCGCGGCAACGCGCCCTGGAGGCCCTGGCCTATGATCGCGAGTTTTGTATCACTTGCAAGGCCGTGCTGCCCGGCAATGACCGGGTGCACCTGTACTAATAGATGTCGCGTTTCGAAAACAGCACGCCTACGGGGTAGGTCGAGAGGTCGTCTCAGTGTGCAGCACATTTTTCTCAGTCTTGGAAGGGACTCGGCGGTCGGCCAGGTGAGGCCCTTCCACTAACACCGATTTTCCTTGAGGTCCAACGTTCATTATCCACCCGCAGCCGCTCGTGCGCTCTGTTACTTACACGTCCTGCTCCTGTACTGTGTGACCATGGACCGGCCTCAGGCGATCCAGTTCGTTGCGGTGACACTGGCGCCATTGGATGGTGAGGCCAGGCGGGTGCGGGCTTGGGAGGTGGGGGATCAGTTGGACCAGGCCTGCCAGGCCTTGAGGGCCCTTCTCCTGACCTCTACCCCTTGTGTAGGGGTGGTGCAAATTCAGTTGAGGGCTGCCCGCGCCCTCTGTGAATCCTGGACCTGGATCGAATGGTGGGACGAGATCGAGGAATTGCCCATGGAGGCATCGCGCCCGGAGCCGGGCTTTTGTGGCCGTCTGCCCCTAGACCTGGTACTTTGCCTCCCTATGCTCCGTTGGTTCACTCTACCTGTGACGAGCTGGCCCAACATCACGATAGTCTCCCTGAAGATGATCGCCCTCGGTTCCGCCAACTGCTACACACAGCCCACCATGAGGCCTGTGCTGCGAGTGACGCTATCCGTTGGCCGGCGCTGCATTGCTTGGGCTTGGAGCTCGGCGAGCTTGTGAAACGGCTTAGTTAGCTTTCGCAGCGGACGTCCCAGAGTTTTTGAAAAATTCCTCTGCTGATGTGTTTGCTGTGTCTAGTCATCCCTGATGTCAGGACGTGGCCACAACCTTACTCAGTGACCCGCCGCAGCCGTTTGTGATCGTCGCTGCTACTCGTGCTGTCCTCTTTCCTGAGCACCATGGCCACTGTCCCCAAGCAGCTTGGTACCCCGGAGGAGACCTTCACTGCCCTGGCGCTGCAGTTCAACTTTGAGCAGCGCATCAAAGACAAGATTCTCGAGCTGGGGATCCGCACTCTCGCGGAATTCTGCCACTATGCCCGCAATGAGGATGAGATCAAGCGCCTCTTCATCGACGCGGTCAAGGACCCCAGCTATGAGGAAACGCAGGGGCGCCTCCAGTCCGCAAGGTTGAGCTTTGCCTGACGGCCTGTAAGGCCTTGCTGGACTCAGAATATGCAGCCGCCAGCATGCCACCGGCTCCCACCGAGGAGGAGACGTTGCTCCCCAAGCAGGAGCTTGAGCACTTGACTCAGCCGTCAGCTGACTCGCAATCAGTTTGAGGTCATGGATTTGTGGACTGTGCGCTCCCTCACATTCCAGCGCACCCATAGCCAGAAGCGCCGTCGGCTGACAAGTAACTTATACCTTCAGGAGGATGACGACGATGAGCCCACTACCAAGTCCTGGCTCTCCTACATAAAAAAATTAGTTATCTTGGAAAGCTCCAGATACTAGTAACTGGGACTGTCATTTACCAAACTTGCACATTGAGACGGATTAATGAATCCATCTTCGCCATTGTGGGGTGTCGCCCCGTTGAGCCAGCGCCGACTGCGCCTGAGTCGCTCGGTTCTGACAGCCTGATCTACGTCCAGGTGCCCTATGACGTCTTGCTGACCTACTCCAGCCGATGCCATGACCTGGTTCTCCGCACCCCTGAGGGGAAGCGGTTGCAGTTGCTCCAACACCTTGATGTTGAAGGACGAGGCCAGTGGGCCCCTCGATGCACAGGCAACACGACCCTGGGCACCATCCTCAGCGCAGTCATGCGCGAGCGGGACGCTCTTTGGCTGGCCGGGGCCCTGCCGGCACCAAGCATTGCCACCGGTGCGGCCTCCGGTGGGGCGGCGTCCGCTCCGGCACCTCCTGCAGCCGCAGGGCAGGTGGGCTCAGTGGACACAGCGGGATGGGACACAGCTGTGCCAGGCCTACCAGCGCAATCAGTGCCGCGCCAACAAAAAAACTGCCCACGCGGCGCCCATCGTTGTGGGGTTGTGCTGCAGTCTGGACGGGTGTGTGGATCCTTCCAGCATTCACCCACTGGGTGCCCCAAAGCTGCTTGAAAAGAGGGCCGCTCCTTTGCCGGGGGGGGGGGCGAGGCCAACTTTTGGGCACTCCTATTTTTCATACCACGCCCCGTCCTCCTTGACATTTTCAGCGGTGTCCATGCCCCCCTGTCCAAGGCCTTTCTGTGGTGCCAGTGGGAGATCATCGCCCCGATCGACATCGAGATCGACCAGGACCTGGACGTGTCGCGTCCGGCGGTCCGCAGGGCTATTCGGGAGGTCCTCCCCAGCGCTGGGGCCATGAGTTGCGCTACCAAATCTCGAGCCAGGGAGAAGCGCCCCGGACCTCCTCCACTACGGTCTGAAGAGTGTCCACGCAGCCTAGTGACTACTTGTTGGCGTTGCAGCACTGGGGCTCAGAACCTTGCGTGCCTCCGTGAGAACCCTCTGCGGTCCCTACATTGGTGGGGCCCCATTGCACAGTTCGTGTACCAGGAGGGTGATTGGTTTGATTTATGTGTCTTTGGTGGGGCTCGGCGTAAAGCTCAGAAGTTTCGTCACAACATCCCGGAACTCGCCTCCCTTAACTGTCAGGTGTGGACACATTCACGACCCTGACGAGTGGCGCTCATCTGGTAGCGGTCAATTCTCCACCTTCAACGAGGCTGAGTACACGCCTAGTCTGGTCTTTACCCTGGCAGTGTGCCGCGGAGCATGGGCCGCGCGACATGGCTACGGCATTTTGTCCATTCCGAGGTTGCCGCCCATCACCTCAGGAGATGTACGACCCCTTCTCCACTTTGAGCCATCGGAGTTACGTGAAGATTTGATGACTGTCATGGGCCCCCACCTTGGCCTCTCCCCCCCTCTGGAAGACTCGTCCCATGCCCCCACACGTCAGGTTGCAGTTGATGTCTTGCAGATGCGGTCAGGCCTCACGGATGAGGACGTGTAAACTGGCCCAGGCCACTTCTCACATCGTTGGTTGCTGACACAGTGGCAAAACCCCTTCCGGAAGGCCGGACGGCCCTAGAGAGTGTTCTTCACTATGCCAGGTGGATTGCCGATCAAGATCACCTCATGGCAGATCTATCCTCCCTCCACTTCAAGAACTTGGTGTGTGACTGCCCCCACAATGTGCTTTGTCACGGGGACATCCTTCGGGCACTGGTTTGTGGGTCTCGCTAGTCGCAGCCGGTATTCGCCCTGCCAGGGCTGTACCTCTGAAGTTTTCCCAGGAGATTGTGGTGGCGAGCCTCATGGCCCTCTGCCCAGATATCAGTTGGACGACTGCCACTACCAATGGCTCAACTACATGCAGAACCGCCCTGACTGGGACGGACACTCATTTGGCCCACGCCTGGTGGGTCCCTTGGTCGCACCGCCATCGCTATGAGCGGCCTTCAACAGCCCGGTGCGGCTGCAGCAGCCAAAGCATTACCTCCTATGATCCCCTTCGGTGTAGGGGAAGATCGGCATTTTGAACTGGCACTCGAGCTCCAACAACGACCCACCCCATTTGAATCCATGGGTGTTGTCGACGACGACCTGATTTTTGCAGCGGCATGGTACTCTGCCCAGGGTGTCGAGCTTCGCGAGGTGCGCCGACGCACCGGACGCTGGCTTCAACAACTGAGGGGCGGGCCGCAAAACGTGGCCCATCACTCACCATCTCCAAACTTACCAGCCACCGGCTATCCGGTCGGCTACGAAGGGGCGCCACATCGCCTTGATTGGACTCATCATGTTGCTCATTGGCTGGCCGGACACTACCTTTGTGGCTAGTCTGATCTATGGGTTCTCCGCCGTGGGCTTCTCCCTCACATGCCCATCTACAAGGCCCAACCTGCCCACTACATCACTGACGACTCCATCTACCAGGATGCATTGCGAGAAGCTGATCGCATTATACAGAGCCTCCGTCCTGGCGAACATGACGCTGCCATAGTTCAAGCCGGTGAAGAGGACCAACTCTGCCACGAACTCCCTCGCTTCCGGTTGATTCGACGATTCTGCATCCAACAGCCATCTGGCAAGCAGCGCGTGATTGATGACGCCGCGGACGGCGGCCAGAGCGCCCTGAGCTCAGATGCAAAGAAGCTGGACCTTTGTACAGGTATCCAACCAGGTCTGCGCGTCCAATTTGTGTGGGAGGCGGCCTCTTCTTCATCCCATCCTTCCGAGTTGTTGCAAGCTGGCATTTGGTCTGGTGGCGAGGATTTGCCAAACGCTTACCGCTACGTTCCTATGAAGCCAGAGCACAGCAACATGGCCATTGTAGCCTGCTATGACGACCACGTTGGAGCCCCTCGTTTTCGACGATACTATGGCTCCTTGTTCGGGTTACCGAATGCAGTATGTTCCTTCAATCGGTTCCCTAGATTCTTTCAAGCTGCGTGCCGCCGCCTGGCTTACTGTATATGTACTTTGATGATTTGACCATTCAGGATTTTGGCATTCTGGGCGGCGCAGGTCAGGCCTTTGTCAACGAGCTTGCCCGCTGCCTTGGTTCGCCCTTTCAGGAAGAGAAACATCAATCCTTGGCGGCTCAATCTGCTTTTCTAGGGCTGATCCACGACGTGACAGCATGTCACCGGGGCGCCCCGGTGAAATTTTGGGCCCGCGACCGTTTGGTCACCAAGGTCACCGACATCATGGATGAGGCGGCTCAGACTGGCCGATTCCCACCGGGACTGGCGGCAAAACTCTTTGGCTGCTGGGGTTTTTGACCACCGGATGCTTCGGTAAGCTTGGCCGGTCTGGCCTCCACAGTATCAAGGAGAGGCAATACTCCTCACAGGTCTTGATGACACACGAGATTTCTCAGTCCTTTGATCGCATCCGGGCACTACTCCGATTGAAATCAGAGCGGGAACTTCCTCTTAGCCCTGTGAAGCAGCAACGGTACTTGGCCGCATCTGATGCTGCACAAGATCTGCCTCGGGAGGGCTCTGCGGGAGTTTTGTTTATTGATCCCCATGGTCACCGACGGGCCTATGTTGTCCACATTCGCCCGGAGATCTTTGAAGTGTGGTCCCATCATGAGGCTAAAATTGCACAACTTGAGCTTTTAACGGTCTATATGGGACTCGCTTACAATGCTTCGTCTTCCCGAGGGATGCATGGTATCTGGTTTGTCGACAATATCGCGGCACTTATGTCCCTCATCCGAGGCCGCAGTAACAATGACGAGTTGGATTATGGCTGGAGCCATCCATGGCCTCCTATTTGCACTCCGTAGTGCTTGCTACTTCGAATGGGTTCAGAGTAAGGACAACTGGTCTGATGGCATCAGCAGACAGGGAGAACACGACCCATGGTTTCAACGACATGGCTTCAGTCTCTTTCACACCTACCCCCTGCTCATGCTCCTCCAGCTGCCCTACCACATCATCGCCCAGGTCTTTCAGTTCGTATAAGTGCTTTGGGTACGTTAGTGCTCCCACAGGGAGAGTGTCAGATGTCAGATGACACACGCGACGTGGGTCGCATTTCAAACCAAAGCACTTAAGTACAGACCGTACAGACCTGAATCGATTCGCAGAAAAAGGTAGCAGCAGCTGACACATGTTGATTGAGCTTCATCGAATATATTCAATCATTTAAGGTAGGCAGGGTCGGTGATGATGAATTATTTGGGAAGCTTCGAGTCAACGTCTCCCCGATGTTTATGCTACCTTCATGTCCACCTGTTGCTGGTCTAGCGAGTGGCTGGCTCGGCATGGAGCCTGTGGGGTCTGTTCCAATGGTGATAGTCAGTTCACCTTCGGCCTTGCTGCCAGCTTGAGGGCCGTGCTATGGTTGCCTTTCCGTCATCACGGCTACGCTTGCTGCGCTTGCAGCCCGGGCTGACCGCCATGAGAGACTGGGACTGCCGCTGCCGTCCGGTTGTCCATTCACGGCTGACCGCCGCCCAGCCATCATACCTGTTCTGCCTGCACCAGGTATTGGAGATGACTGGGTTCTGTCAATTTGAATCTTTTGATTTTTCACGCTCTGTCCAGAGCTGACATCCGTTGTGGCCGTAGGACCGCCCCTGCGGTATCCTCTCGGTCACCATATACGGATGGAGTGCTCCCACAGGGAGAGTGTCAGATGTCAGATGACACACGCGACGTGGGTCGCATTTCAAACCAAAGCACTTAAGTACAGACCGTACAGACCTGAATCGGTTCGCAGAAAAAGGTAGCAGCAGCTGACACATGTTGATTGAGCTTCATCGAATATTTGTATATATATATATATATTTTTTTTTTAACTATTATGTGTTTTTCTTATTCTTTCTTTTTCTTTCCTTTTCATTATTTCTTATTTCTTTCTCTCTTTCGTCCTTAGATTGCCTTTGCCCATGCTTTGCTACTTTGCGATTTTTCTCTGTCGCTGTCGCCTGGTGCCACAGTGAAACAAGAGTTTTTGCTTTGGTTTCTCCTGCAAGTTCCTTTCTGAACGCTTCAAGAAACATACATTTGGACCTCCAAGTGTGGGCGCTTGGTATGTTGAACGAGCTGCAGCATGCGTGAGTCTCTTAACCGATGGTTTGGCTATGCATTCTTGTCTTTGTTAGCCTTTTAACCGTTGACTTCTTTTGACAGTTTGCTGTCCCAACTTGATTGCACGTGCAAGGTTTTCGTCTGCAGAAATCCGCCGGTTCAGTCTGTGTCAATGAAGCAGTGCGTTTCTGTTTTGACACCCACACCCGCAACTCGCAAGCTGAAAGGCCGACGTCGAAGCTAGCGTTGACCGAGTTTTCGATCTGGTGTTTTGAGCAGAGTTGGTGTTCTGCGCTTCAGGTGGCTATGAAGCAGTCGCCAAGCGACTCACTTCAGAGCTGATGAACAAAGCGATTGGCATTACCGAGGACTTTGACCAAGGAGTTCGCATCATCAATGACCTTGCAGTGCCTAGGTTCCAGTGGGCTTCAAGACAACAGCTTTGAACTTTGAACTGCAGTCATTTTTGTTGTTGTTTCGCTTTAACTTTCAAAGGTGCTTTAAGAATGCGTTGTGAAAGACGCATGCTTGTTCCTGTACATATTTTGTGCCCCCTGTCTATGGTCGTGCTCGTGTGATTTGAAGATGTAACCAAAGTCTTCTTGAGACATGGCAGAGGTGTTTTTGCGCCCGCAATGTTCTCCCAATAGGGTTCCAAGATGCTTGTTTGCTTTGCTTCAGGACTTGCCTTTGGTTCTCCCTCCACTTGTCCGCCTTTCTCCCTTACCTTTCCAAGTCCCACATGTTTTTTCACCAGACAAGTTGGTTTCCTGTTGCCTGAGTTGTCTTTGATGACTAATGCAAGCAGGTGCAAAACGATCGAGAAATGAAAGGAGTTACTCATGTCTGCCATTGTTTGCATGTAGTTTGCCGCTTGCCTAAAACGCATTTCTGTAGCGTCATCTCCCACTGCCTGTTTCTGCGTTGGTGGGTATGTCTTGCTTTGTCTCCGCACCGGTTTATATAGATCCTTGTGAAGGATGATTTCGTTCTTTTGCTTCTAGTGTTTAAAATCTTCCCCCCCAAAGGATTTCCAAAGCACGTTGGCTGCTGTGAGGCTGTTGGGGTTCTCGATTCTTCCGTAACAATGTAAATGTGTCATGCCGCAGGTTTTGCAAACTTTGACTCCTCTCGCATCATCTCGCATCCAGGTTTGGTAAGTTGGTTTTGCCTCTCTTTGTCTTCCAGTGATTTCCCTGGTAGGCGCAGTTGTCTCCCCAGGTATTCTGTGTTGTGCCGTTGTTGCTTCGCTTTAGTGGTCGAGCTGACTAGATCATGTCCCAGAATAGTCTTTCCTTTTTTCGCTTGTCTTCCCTGCCTTCAAGCCGTCTTTCTTTAAGTGAGACATGCAGTCGCGTGACAGAACTTGATTCTTTTGGGCAAAGTATTCATCGATTTCATCAGCCGTTGCCCACCCAACTCGTTTGTCGTTGTCTGTTTTGGGTCTCTTTCTTTTTTCCTGTTTGTATATGTGTTCAATGACAATACTTTGCCAAAGGCTCGCGACAACCTTGGCTTCAATTCTTGGACTTGGAACGTAGAACTCTTCAACAGAGCCCAGAAAGAATATCATCGCGATTTCAAGATGTCCTTGGCGAGGGCGCTGTATGAGTACCGCACACTCGACCGGCTGGACGCCGTGGAAGAGATCCTACAGGGTCATCAAGCAAGCAGTTTCACTCTGGACCTTATCAGAAAGTACAGAGAAGAGCAGACTGATGCACTGAATTCCTTGTCGAACATGGTGCTCCCCTTGCGGGAGGAAGGGGCTACGCTTGCCACCCAGTTCTCGGACTACATTGGCCCCACGCTCTCCATGCACTATGATGCCGTGGTCGTCCTCATTATCGCTGGCATGAACCCAGCAAGCAGCCGGGACACAATCAATAGTGTCAGACGCTTTTTGGCGTTTGCTCGCAAAACAGGTCCGTTACCCCACTGTTTGAAGGCCCGGCGTTTTGAGGCCGGACCAAATGCACCATACCAGTGCGTGGAGACTTACAAGCTGGTGGTCATACACTTTGACTCCTTTTGCTCGCAATTTTGCCAGCCGCACCTTTGCCTCAATCCTGCCCCAAGGACCTGCTCAGACGCCTCCGCTTCTGAAGGCCTTGACTTTTTGGCAGATAGGGAGGCATGGTGCCAAAACCCATGCACACGTGTAGTAGCACACTACAAACAGGGGCCTGCCTCCAGTGCTGATAAGCTCCTACCACAACTCCCACAACCACCCTCCATCATTGACATCTCGGTGGGTGCTCAGGAGCAAGACCCCAAGAACCAGCGTGTCCACATGCAGCTTGGCCCCTTGGCAAGCGGGGTGGTCTCAGTCCGTCTGAGAATCATTCATCACGAGTTTGACAAGGCAGCCAATGAATGGATCCCGGTACACGGTGTGCAAGACACGCACACGCCAGAGTTGAATGTGACAATCGGCCAACTCATTTCGGGGCGATACTACTACTTCCAAGCGGCAGCAGTGAACGATGTAGGCGAAGGGCCCTACAGTGCACGCTGGCCGGAAAGTGCTTCGGGGCTCCTTGTGGGCCATCGCATTGTCACCATCCAGCCCGAAAAAGCTGTGCGCCAACCGCTCGAGCATTTGGATACTTGCGATGCAGAAGAAGCAGCTGGTTCCGACCTTACAAATCGGGCCCCCAACTGGCTTGCCTGGGCAGTCCGCTTGAGCTTTAGCGAGTTGCCGAGAAATCAAGAGCCAGCAGCAAGCGTGGAATTCTTCGACCTCGCAAATGGCACAACTTTCAATTGCCTAAAGTTCCAGCTGGATCCAAGTGATTCTCTTGCTGCCTCGTGCCGCATCCCTTGCCGGGAATCAAGGTTTACCAGCACTTTAGCAGTGACAGTTTGGGATTCCAATCGAATAACCAAAATTGCAGAAGGCCAGTTGACACATGAGCCCATGTCCAAAGCATCTTGTGGAGCCTTCACTCCCAGCAGACCACTCTTTTGCGATGTTGAAGACTCGCGCCAAAGGCGCTGCATGGTACCCACCTCGATCAATGGCTCCGCATGCGACCTGTGCTTTGATGCACGCACTCCGAAGACCTACCGAGTCGAGTCTCGCCTGTGCACTGGATTTCAGTGCCAGCTGGGTGAAAGGTGGTGCCCTTTGAATGGCATCGGTTGCATCACAACATCTTGTCAGGTTTGCTACACCGGCAGTGTAGACTTTCCAGTGGACGGAGGCACGGTGTGCGCATTGCCCTGTGAGTTGTATGCCGATGTTCCAGATCTCATCGTGGAGAATGGTGCCATATCTGTCCCGCCTGGCGATAGCGCCAAAATCGCTTGCGATGCAGGCTTGGGGCCAAGTTGGGATGAGGCTCTTGGGGCTCCCGGCCCTGCAGAGCTACAATTCCTTTGCCCTGAAGGCAACACTCGGCTGGAATACAAAGTCAGCGACTTGGCAAGACGTCCTGCCTGCAAGCCTCGTTGCGTGTCAGGAACCTTTCAAGACGTGGACGGCTACATCTACACCTATGGCGACAGCATCTATGGTCAGACCATGAACTTTACATGCGACGCATCCCAGTTCGAGTCAGGCATGGTGGTCCTTCTCTGCAAGGACTCTGTGGTTGAGCTGCTGTCAAGGACATGCAAGGTTGGGGGAGTCAGGAAAATACGGTCTCACATTTTCTGATGCATTCTCATACTTGTTTGGAAACCCACTGAAAGTGTGAATGAAAGCGCAGTAGGAGCTTACGTTGCTAATACTTTGACTCAAGATCCTGTGCAACTGAGACAATATAGCGCGCAGCTTTGGGGATGTACATGTTTTGTCCAGTTCCAGAATCCAAAGCTGGACATTTCATTTTGTCTTGGAGTTGTATGCGGCGCAGGGGGGCCCAAGGACGGTTGGAACCAGACACAAAAGACACCAACCAGTCTCAAAATTCAAGATCCACCCCTACGAACACGCAGACGCCCCCAGAATCTTTGTAATTTTTGGTCGTGATTGCCGGTATTGCAGCATTGTACCCCATGGTGCGCATACATTTGGCGACCGGTCTCTCCCCCGTCTGTTTCATACATTTTGTTAGATTTTTGTTGACCTTGTCCCCAGGGCTCAAGTTTCAGCTTAGAGCCCCAGAACCTGAAAGGGTTCGACTTTTTACGCTTTAGTCGGGCCTAGCGCTGTGTTTGGTGGAGCCATAGTGCAGTGGCATTTCCAGCTCCGGCGGAATGCTCGCTCGAACTTGTTAGACCACAGCCTTCCGATTTCACTTTTAGCAACGCTATTCATTTTGTTGTCTTTGTCAGCAATGGGCCGGTGGCTGTTTTGGTGCAGCAGGTTGCGGGCCTCAGAAGCGACTTTTGTGCATGCGCACTACACAAATGGCACATTACCCGGAAAGTGCATGAACGAAACACGCAGAGATCGTGGGTGAGAGGCCGTGTAGTGATTGCGGAGCTCAAAAGACAAGAGAATTTTTGCTTGGACCTACGAACAGCTAGACGGCAAAGATACAGGGACAACACTGCAACCCTGGGCCATAGGGAGAAAGCAAGACAAGACCATGTTGAGGCTGATTCCTTTGCCCTTATGCAGACTACAGACCATATCACTATCGCAAGTGCAAGATTCGCATATGCTGTCCAGCATCAACGACCATACCATGATGCTGTGAGCTTTGCGACCCAGAACTTTGTGAAGAAGGATGATCTTAAAAGATGGCTCCAAGAGCTTCCTTTCTTTTGCGAGAATCAGTGGACTGTGCTGGCGGTCTGGAAGATTGATCCTGAAGAAGCGGTCACCCATCAGTGTGACTATCTCTGGCTCAGTGAAGGCAATTGGGCAAGAGAGTTCCGCACCTTTTGGAGGACAACAGAGATCTTCAAGACACCGAAGGTAGCAGCAGTTGAGCCACAACCAGCCAAGAATGTACTAGCCGATCACCAAACCATACATGTGATTGGGGTGGAGAATCAGAAAGTTCCACCGCATCATTTTGTGCACCTTTTTGATATCTGGGAAACCGACAACCCACTGGTTGGTACTGGCAGGCTGTTCCTAGCTAGAAAGGCAGCTGAGGTCCCCCGAGATATGTCGGTTGCACAACTTCCAAGACTGCTTGGATTTGATACAGCTGAATTTCTGGAGATTTTTGCAATCTCTTTCGCACTGAGCGGGTCAGCAGAGAGCGATTTTAAGGGGCAGACAGATACTGACTGTGCCGGAATTCTCGCTCATTGATTTGATCTTTGTGCGAAAGGCCCCTGAATGCCTTGTAAGCCCCTATGCTGCTGGTCTCTCCATACAGACACACTCCAACCCACATGAGGAGACGGCGCGTAGTGTTTTTAGACGGGATCAGACGTCCAGAGAGCAAGACCTTGAAGAAAACTCGCTATTCCAGTTCCAACCGCCACCGAGGCTTGGGACTCACAACACTGATAGTGAGGCTTACTTCTGGGTTCGAAATACTGTTGTTCACCAGCCTGCTGTACTACTTACTGTCATGGAAACAGGGCTCTTGTTTTCGCATCATTGGCCGTACTTCATAGTTTATTCTGAGGAAAGGCCTTTCGAGATAAGAACGTTTGGTTTTGAGAGCCAGGAACCACTCAATACGCATATCCTACGTACTCGGTTTCGCGAATGCTATGCGGACCAGTTTGGGACACATGATACTGTGAGTATCGGACCTGTTGGACTGCAACAAATTCAGAATAGACGGACACCCATCTCGCGTTCCTTTCGAAATGAGACCCATGCTGATTCAGGTTCTCTATCCAGACACGGCAGGTCAGATAATCTCTATAGAGCTGCATTGTTAGCGCGGAGAGTTTCCAAGTCTGATGTCATACAGAAGGCTGATCTCGAAGGGATATGTGATGACCAAAGTCATCAGTGCCTTGTCAGTACTGAGGAGGGTGTCCCAATTGGGGCTTCGTTGGTTCCTATTGTGGCTTGGCAGAGGATTGTAGTTACGATCTCTAAAAGAGACAGTCCGGGGGCCTCAATGATCTGTGATTGCCAGACTCGCCCAGCGAACATGCTGGAAACTGGGGCTTCGGATGACTTCAGTCTGATGCAAACACGTCCAAGAGTTGCAACCGAATTTGATCCGATTTTATTATATGCATTCGCGGGACTGGATCCCTTTTTTGGAAATGCAGCTGAAGGGCGTGTAGAGGTTGAAACATACTGCCACTTGTGGGTAGAGAGAGATGGGCCCATGCGCAACCATCTTCCCATCGTGTTGCATCTAAACAGTCCGGCCATATCCCAAGTCGCCGCAAGATGGACTCACCACATGCAGGCAGAGAGAATGAGGCTAGTAATTACCTGTGAGGCCTATCCCAGACTTTGGGAATGGTCCTAAACCGCATATCCTTGTTCTAGACCATGATAGTGAGCAAGTGGCGCCAGTACTCTTTGACTATGTTAGTGACGCCAGAGTCTTTACAGGTACAGGGCTCGTTGACTGCCAGGATGGCTATCCGGAGGTTAGAGACCTCTTCGACCTTCTGATCCCGAACAATGAGTGTCGCACAGAACCTCCTGTCTTGTGCGAGCCAATGGCAGACATTACGTTCCGGGCCAAATAGTCATGCTTTACGAGGGCCTTTTTAATCGATTAGACGAGCAAGATTTAGATGCCACCACAACAGAGGATGCCATTAGCGCTGAGTATGATCCAGATGCAAGTCGTACATCCACCAAGTGAGTTCTGATCTCAGTTTGCAGCCGGGTCCGGCTGTGTCTGAAACTGACCTGGCAGGTCCTGCTGGGAGATTTACTTCTCTCCCAACTGGACCTTTTTTCGATGTAGACCAGAATGGTGTCCTCTTTGTGATTGATCACGAATTTAGCCCTGACTTGGCTCTGCAATGGTTCCAAGCAATTGCTGTACAGCGCACTGCTTTTGCACAATTTGATCGGTTGGTAGCGGAACTCGGTGCCGGGTCAGGGCGTGGACATTTGGGGGGAATAACTCTTGTCATTACTGGTAGCGAGTGGCATGAGGCTGTCCATCTGCCGGTGTTTGGCCTCGATAGTACCCATTTAGAGTGCCACGGCGCCCTCCGCAGAATGAATTTCCTGTGCATGCGCCGTTACAATTTTGGCTTGTGCGCCCGAACTTGGACAGACATGAGCAGGAAGGGTTCATGGATAGGTATATACTGGCAGATCACTCATGTCCGGATGACCAAAGAGCTGCGGTTGTGCTTATCCATGACCCTGAGGAGCCAGAAGCGGATAAACTGGCCCTACTCAGACCACAGATGACCAACCTGCTGCTGTTTATCCAAGTTGGGAAGACCGTAAAATGCACGTCTGAGGACTTTGTCTGCACGGTCAGCCACCAGGATGAAGTCCTTATGCCAGGGTCTTATTGGCTTGTCTTTAACGGCATGAAAATCAAGATTGTCATTCAGGAAAAGAACGAAAGATGTAGGAGGGCCTTTCGAGAGATGCATGCTCAAGGCAATGACACTGCAGATGCCTTCCTGAGCAGGAGGAACCAGATGATATGATCCTGATGCATTTCTTTTCGGAGATGGAGATTGCCACCGTGGAAACTACGGCGGTGGCACTGAGGCCTTTTGCAGAGTCACACTATGGAGTTCTGCTAATGCACCAGGGGACAACAGCGGCAACGATTTGCTCCGATCTTACATACATGATAAAAAAGGGAGATTTCTGCGAGTGCATTCACGGTATATGTCTGGATGCTATTGCCCCGGTTGCGCGTAGTCCACACGGCACAACGGTGCGCAATGTTTAAGGACAAGTCATACGCAGCATCATTGCTAGGCTTGTGGAAAGTGGCTTTTACTGTGCAGCCACTAGCAGTCACGCTAGTCCATCCGGACCTGCAACCACTTGCTTTGCCCAGTTGGTTTGCGAGCTGTCCCGCTAGACCTTGTTGTCGTACCAGAAGCTGATGTATCAGGTGGGCGCAAGGTCTACTTAGTGGATGTGATAGGCGTGCCTCTCCCGCGTAGGCTCGCGCTTTTCGCTGATGATACCAGCGCCGTAAGGGCAATTGCACAGCTAGCGGGAGCACAGTCCATTTGTGATTTGTCCACGACCGTTTGCAGCGTACGATCTTCAGCCCCAGACAATAGGCAGCAGTGGGATTATGACCAGGTTGTTAGGACGGAGCATGGAGCAGGTTTGACACTATGGATTGAGCCAGTCTCACAAGGTCGGGTCGTTGCGGCCTCCATGTGTGTGGACAAATCTTCATTCATGCAGATGCTGCTGGTGGACCCAGGACCAACTAACCCTGAGCAATATACTAGGGAGGCAGTCAATTCGGGTTACATGCATGTTTGGATCCATGACTGCCTTATGGTTGAGACATTTCAGCATAACCATCGTCGGATAGTGTGGGATCGACCTAGGGCCATGCAAGAAGTCCGTAGGTTTGTTCGAACGGGCCGACGTGAGCACCGGACATGGGCGGTCATACCAGTGTCCCCTGTTCCAATTATGGGAGGAATCAGGCAACCCACATTGATCCTCCATCCGGACAATGATCACCAATTTTGGGCAATATTGGTTGAACTTCAAGACGATGTAAAAAAGGTCTTTGGCACTTTCGTGCTTGAAGCTGACCTTATGCCATTTAGTGTAGATTTCTTGTTTGACCGCACTCACCTGCCTCATGGATGCGGAGAGATCAGCCA